GTCAGGAGCGCACTAGAGGCCGGTCGGCGGCGGGATCCGACGTCTGAGCTGGACCCTGCTGACTGAACCCAGCGCGGCAGCCGCGGGGAGGGCTGCGCGGCCCCGGCTCCCCGCCAGGTCGCGGAGACCAGCAGGGATTAGCGGGCAGCCGGTGGCGCAGGCACAATGGGGAACCGGGAGATGGAGGAGCTGATCCCTCTGGTGAACCGTCTGCAGGACGCCTTCTCCGCGCTGGGGCAGACCTGCCTGCTGGAGCTGCCGCAGATCGCCGTGGTGGGCGGCCAGAGCGCCGGCAAGAGCTCGGTGCTTGAGAACTTCGTGGGCAGGTGAGCGCGCGGGGCGACCCGCTCCGGGCCGTTGGAACGTGGACCCGCGGCAGGAGCCCGAGGCTGGACCAGGGGCTGCGGCGGAGCCGAGGGCAGAGCAGCGGTGTCCGTGAGGCGGGCGGGGTCGTCCCGGCTCCGAGCATCCTCCGTCCCTCCCCGCCTGGTGGCCCTCCAGTCTGCCTTTCATCCTGCGATACAAAGCCATTTCCTCCCTGTCCTCGGGTTGAGGAGTCGGGGGAGGGGGGCCGCCCCAGGATCGACTTCCCCCCGCCCAGTACGCGCCAGCCCCAGCCCCGGGCAGCCTAGATGCGTAGCGCGTCCGGGCGCTTCCCGGTCCCGCTCTCCGTTTTCCCGGCTTAACATCCTCCTCCTTTTCCTGTCAGCCTCCCCGAGGCTCTCCGCGAGGCTGTGAGGTTTATTTCCCCGCCTCCCTCCCCCACTGGAGACGCTTTCCTTCTCGCCCTGGTTCTCGGCTCCTCTCAGCTGTCTACTGTTCGAGACAGCCGTCGCCTGCCCCTAGCAGGGGAGGCGGGATGCGAGGAGAAAGAAATCATTTGTTGTGGTGAAGCTTTAACGGGCGACGCTTCCCCACCATTCTCCTCTCTAGGAGTCTAAGAATAAAAGGTGGTGTGTTCGTGTGTGCACCGAGTCGCAGCTCCAGGCATCTGTCAGAGAAACCGAGGCACAGACTCTGGAGTGGGGGTGTGTGTGTGTGTGAACGTAGACTTGTGTTGTCCAGGTGCCATGTCATTCCTACATCATCTCGGAATGGACCAGCGTCTTTCTCGCACTCTCTCCGCGCCCCCTCCCCCAGCAGCGTCTTCCGTTCGTTTCCTAAGCTTTTATTTGTCCTGCGAGTCTTCAGGATAACGTGCTGAATCTAAATTGTAGTTATGGGTTTCGTCGTTACTCTTAATTCAGAAAAAAAACCCCTAAAGAATTCATTTTAAAATTGGAAATCAGCATTTTTTTCCACTGAGCAATTCCTGAGGGATTAAGTTACCTTAACGGCCTTGCCTGAGGAGTGCAGACATTAGCTAAGAAAAGCCCATTTGAAAGCATTATGAAAGCTGAAATCTGTTTCCCAGTAGTAAACCAGGTAGAAATGTAGAGCAGCTGAGAGAGTGGGCTGGAGGGGGTACAATCCAGAGATTGTACCTTACTCTCCTTATTTAGCTGGTTAGTGATTCGGGATTCAGAATGTTCTTGTTTTTCTTTTTTCTTTTTTTTGTTAGTGTTTGTGTAAAATTTAGATATTCCTGCATCTCCTTTGGAAATGCTAATACCCGTAAAGTGTATATTCTCTTCTCTCAGATAGTGCTCTCTCAGATGATACTTAGGTTTTTTTTTTCCTCCCTGTTTGAACTAGAAAGCTAAGAAACCTAATAAAAAGTAAAATTGCTGACAGTTGGCTGGTATCTTTGAGTAAGTCACTTAATCACTTTGCCTTGGTTTTATCATTAATTTGAGTGATGAGAAAAGTGATGGTAAAGCATTTTGTCTACGTCATCATAGACTAATGGTGAAACGATGGATGAATATGTGATTTCAAGCATGTACACACAACAGTTACATACTTAAGGGTTTTACTTTCTTTGATTTATTACCAGTGAAATTTGCTAAATTTCAAGTGGTATCTATAGGGAAGATGAGGCTTGATGACAATGTATTTTTGGGTTTTCAAACTCCAGAACATTTAATGTGATGTCATAATATTCATTTAACTGCTTTGGTTTTTTAAACAAATGCTTAAGGGTTAAAATTGTGATTCAAGTGCAATAAGCATGTTTATACATCTTTCATAAATTTAGTTGGATGAGTCTGTATTATCAGTATTAAAAATGAACTGTTTGTGCCAGGAGCTTTTGAACCTAATGACAGTTTTATGCATGTATCTCAATTCTATTCTCCAGGTTTTCAAGCCCTAACACGTTCCTTAATGCTGCAATGAAAGTGTATACATTTTTCCTCACTAGCTGTATTCTTTTAAAATGCGGATCTAAAAAAATCTGAAAGAGTAAAATATTTTAGCCTGAACACTTTTTTAATGAGAGTGAAAAATAGGGACATCATAAATATTATACAAATCACAGCATTTAGCAGAATACATTAGAAATTTACTATACTTTTAAAAGTTTTATTGATAATGATCATTAGAGTGTCAAATCAAAGAAAAGGTTAACAAAAAGGGAAAAACTCAATACATACAGAAAGGCTTTATTATCTGTAGAGATGACACTTGTCTAGCAAGCTTATGTATTAGGAGAAATTTAATTAAAAAGGTCGTTTGACTTAATAAAGCCTTTCAGTCATTGATATTATTGCAGAATCCAATTGCTAATTGTAAACCAACCTTAGGGAAAAAGGAGTGTCTCTATTTTGTTAGGAGATTCATCCTAGGCAAAAAAAAGCATACTCATATTCCACTATAACCTTTTGTCTTCTTATTATCCAGAATTTTTTCAGTAAAGATAAGGTCCTTTAAGAATGAAACTTGCTTCTTTTACATGTAGCTCTGTTCATTTTAAAACTCTGACCTCTGTGCAGTTACTGAATGCGGTCATAAAACAAGAGGCCTTTACTTGTGTAAATTAATAGCATTTGCTTGTCATTTAAGCTTGTTGTCTTAAAATAATGATGCATTTTCTCCTCAACATTTAACAATCTATGATTAGTGGACTAGCCATCTCTTCTCCTTTCAGTTTGTTCATATTGATATTTTTGACGTTACTGAATGAATTTGGTTGTGAATGTGTTTATTTCATTTAACTGTAGCTCTAAAATTCAGTTTTGGGGTGACAAGTTTGAGATTGTTATGAATAAGATGAGTCATGAATGAGCTACTTGTTTGTGATTTTCTTGCTGAAGTGATGAATTTACATATTAATGTGATATAATGTGAGTAACCAGATTGTTCTTTTGGATGTACAGATGAGATATATACTGGCAGTGAGAGGCAGCTTTTGAGGTCTAATGAATACAGCTGGGACTCATGGTCTGAATATAGGGGTTCACTAACTGGCTTGTGGTCTGCCCGTTGGTCTGGTTTGTGTACAGAAGAGTCAAATTTATTCAGCTACTTTTACAGCCAATTTTTTTTTAACAGTGCAATGAGGATGATGATGATGATGATAATGATGGTTAACATTTATTGAGAGCTAACTATGCATCAGGTGCTATTTTAGGTGCTTTTGTGTGGATAAGTTCATTGAATCCTCATAAAACCCCAAAGAGGAAGATACTTTTGAGTTCCATTTTATAGAAGAGGAAACAGATTTAGAGAGTTTGAGTAACTTGCTAAAGGCAGATTTAATATAAAAACAGTAGAGTCCGGATTCACCCTGAGCTGTTTGGACTCGATACCTATGCTGTAAAATCTCTGTGCCATATTGAACCCTCTCTATATTAAGATTGACCAATTCCTCTGATAAGTACTTTTAATTTATTTCTTTGACACTTAAAAGCACCACCTAAATAAATAAAAAGCTGCTATATTAATAATTTTAAATTTATGTGTATCTACCTTGCCTCATTTCACAGAGGATTTGAGGCAACCCCTTAGGCAGAAGCAACATTAGAAAGATAAGAATTTTTCTTTACTGTATTAGACATTCTTGAAGGGAGGTCTAAGCATATAATTGGGTTGTTTATTTAAGTATGTGTTTAGAGTGAATATAACTTGTTTACAGAGGTGTTAAGTAAAAACTGTACTAGTTGCTAATGTGCAAATGTTTTTTAATGATATACTTGTTAGAAACATTAGTTCTTCACTACTAATTATATAGGCAGAAGATTCCACATTATTTTTTTATTCTAGCCCGAGTGGTAAACAGACTTTTAATTTTGCACAAATAGAATAGGTTTTTTGATTTATTTTAAAAAATAAAAGATTTTAAAAAAGTGATTTTGTTGAAAGGATTTAATTTCAATGTGGAAATATCAAATAATATATACTTATTCAGCTGTTAGTTTTCTAAAGATGAATATGTTGATTATCAGCGTTGTTTGGTGGGAGAACCTTAAAAGTGAGCCATTTGATGCTGTTGTTGAATGAACATAACCAGATAATTAAAAAATCTGAAAGTCATTTATATGACTTAGACACTAATTTACTCTTAAATCCTTTGAATAATTTCATGAGTATTTAAAAATTGAGGAGGTAAGCATTCTCTAACTGCAAATGAGATTGGGCACAGAAGCATTCATATTAGTAAAACTTCTTAATTCAGAAATGGATTTGTATTGAGGAAGAGATTTTTAAAAACATCAGAGCATCTGAATTACTGAGTATTTTTCAACAAATGGCTTCCAAGTATTAAAGTTATTAGATGAATGGGTGCTAACAGTTAAAATGTGATAATTGTTGAAAATCATGCTTCATGGTTCTCAAGGGTCTATTTAAATAAAGTATCAGGAACATGAACTTTTTCTCATTCAACAATGAATTGCTAAAACCTGAAATTACAAAGCTATTTTTGCTGAATTAAAATTACATACTGTACATTTAGGTTATCACAAATTCACTTTTGGTAGCATTTAGTTATAACAATCAGCTTAATTCTTTTTTATTAATAACACCTGAGAAGCAATACAACTATGTGAACTGGACTGGATAGGATATCTCTGTTTTGAAATTTACTTATGATTAACAGATATTAAAAAAATGGCCTTGATTAACTTCTTTAAGAATGAATTTGGGCAGGCATCGCCCAGAGGAATGGAAACTTAGTAGATACCTATGCTAGAGGGTAGGCTACTGGGTTCTCTACCAACAGGACATACATTTAGTATATTAGGTGTTTATCTCAAGTAGTAAGTACCTTGTGCTAGGGCTAATAAGTAGAGTTAAACTGTGATGTTTTACTTACTATGATTTATTTAATTTTAAAGGAGGACTGGAAGCAGCTAAAAGAAATAGGTAATTTTTGTCCTCTTCAACCAGGGGCAAGTCAAGGGAACTCTGAACTACTGTGCTGTGTAGAATAATCCAATTTATTTTT